GTCGGAATGGGCTTAAATTTGCCAGGTTTATCGGAAATAAAAATCGCGCCGGGGGCAATTTCGCCATTTTTCGCGTCTGTGTCAAAATGGGCTTAAAATTGATCGGTAGATCGGAAACAAAAATAGCGTCCGGTCAATTTCGTCTTTTTTCGCGACTGTGTCGGAATGGGCTTAAATTTGGCAGGTTGTCCGGAAATAAAAATCGCTCCGGGGGCAAATTCGTCATTTTTCGCGACTGTGTTGAAACGGGCTAAAATTTGACTGGTTGATCGGAAACAAAACCGCGCCAGGTCAATTTCGTCTTTTTTCTTGACTGTGTCGGAATGGGCTTAAATTTGGCAGGTTGATCGGAAATAAAAATCGCGCCGGGGCCAATTTCGTCATTTTTCGTGACTGTGTCGAAATGGGCTAAAATTTGACTGGTCGATCGGAAATAAAAATCGCGCCGAGGGCAATTTTGTCATTTTACGCGACTGTGTCGTAATGGGCTCAAATTTGGCAGGTTGATCGAAATAAAAATCGCGCCGCCGGGGTAATTTTGTCATTTTTCGCGACTGTGCCGAAATGGGCTAAAATTTGACTGGTCGATCGGAAATAAAAATCGCGCCGAGGGCAATTTTGTCATTTTACGCGACTGTGTCGTAATGGGCTCAAATTTGGCAGGTTGATCGAAATAAAAATCGCGCCGCCGGGGTAATTTTGTCATTTTTCGCGACTGTGCCGAAATGGGCTAAAATTTGACTGGTTGATCGGAAATAAAAATCGCGCCGGGAGAAATTTCGTCATTTTTCGCGACGGTGCCGAAATGGGCTAAAATTTGACTGGTTGATCGGAAATAAAAATCGCGCCGGGGGCAAGTTCGTCATTTTTCGCGACTGTGCCGGAATTGGCTAAAATTTGACTGGTTGATCGGAAACAAAAACAGCGCCGAGGTCAATTTCGTCATTTTTCTCGACTGTGTCGGAATTGGCTGAAATTTGGCAGGTCTTCATTTTTCACGACTGTGTCGAAATGGGCAAAAATTTGACAGGTAGATCGGAAACAAAAGCCGTGCTGGGTCAATTTCGTCTTTTTTCGCGACTGTGTCGGAATGGGCAAAAATTTGGCAGGTTGATCGGAAATAAAAATCGCGTCGGGGGCAAATTCGTCATTTTTCGCGACTGTTTCGAAATGGGCCAAAATTTAACAGGTTGATCGGAAATAAAAATCACGCTAGGGGAATTTCGTCATTTTTCGCGACTGTGTTGGAATTGGCTGAGATTTGGCAGGTTGATCGGAAATAAGAATTACGCCGGGGGCAATTTCGTCATTTTTCTCGATTTTGTCGGAATGAGCTAAAATTTGACTGGTTGATCGGAAA